GCCAAAAGATATGGGTTTTTTCTCTTTTAAGGAAAATGGCAGGTGGGAAATGATGAGTCAAGAAGTCCATGGTATTTTCCTCTTTCGGTTGCTTGATATCAGTGTCACTCCAGGTAAATTATTAACTCTTCCTTCACCTTTATTCCCCTTCTTCTGCCCTGGGTTGACCTTTTCTATCCCCATGCCAGGGCCATGGGCTGGTGTGCTCTCATGCTGTGCATCACTCCTGGTGTTGTTTTTTGACAAACGTTTGAATTCATAGAAGTCCTCCGCCAGGCTATAAATAGGAAATACCAGCCAGAGGGGTTAATCTGCAGTGGTGTTGACATCTCCAACAATCCAGGATCACCTGTGAGTGCTCAGCAGCTTCTCAGAGCAATCAGCAAGCCAAGGCATGAGCCAGTCAGAGCTCCTCTGTCACACTGATCAGTTCCCGTTTAAATGGAGGGAGAGGTGGTGCTGCAGAGTCTTCCTAATTATCCCCAAATGTCAGCTAACAGCTTGTCTCCGGTGTGGGGAGAAAAGAAAACTTGGTGGCCCCACCAAAAGCAAGTGTGAGGTTGTGTGGGAGGTGCTGGAGTCTCCATAACCAGAGGTTTTTAAAAGAGGAAGGAAACAGAGTCCTACAGGTCAGTTAGAGCTGCTTTTGAAGGAGAGGATGGGTCAGATGTTCCTGAGGTTCCTTCCCATCCTGCCTCCTAGGGACTGGTGAAGCCACTGGAGGTGAAAGAAGGTCTGTCAGTCGACGTGATCTTACAGACTCCCACATTGCCTGTGCTGGAAATTTGGAACTTCTGAGGGTCTGACAGTAGAGCCTTGCTTAATGTTGGGGGTTTTGTCATCTGAAAACCCCTGATTTCTTGGAACAAATGCACAAAAGTGCTCCTAGGTAGGAGGTTCCTGAATTAGGCGTGCTACCGTGTCCCCATGCTGAGGGATAGGAATACCAGCCACAGTCACACATCTGCTGGAGAGGTGGCAGGAATTGGAAGCATTCAAAGTACCTGGACTGGGAGCTCAGTCAATATTTACGGACAGGGGTCACCTGCACTGAGTGAATTTTTGAAAGCACTTGAAGGCTGATGGATGACTTCACCTGATGGTGGTAGGAAGGCGGCTTCTGGTCGGGCTGTATATGACTTAACCATGTGCTCTCCAGACAGCTTTTCCTTAGGATTATTTTGCTTACAAGTTACCTTATCCATAAGTCCTATTTGCTCTGACAGTCTCTGCAGCAGTTATGTTTCATTACCTGTGAAATGACAGACACAGATCTCTTAACAATGAGGTTTGGCACAGATGAGCTGAGGAGGGTCTGAAGTCCTTCCTAGTGCTGCATGTTATTTGGGTCCATCTCCCATGGCACTTGGGGACCATATATGTTTATCCACTTTGAGTCCTGGCACAAGGATGTGGTGACCAGTGGAGGGTGTATATGTCCATCAGGGTTGTTCTTGTGAAGGTTTTTAGCAGCTGTCTGGGGAAGCTCTTAAATGTAGGTTTTAAAACCTCCAAACCTAAGAAGTTGAAAACTACAGCTCTCTAGGCTTTATTAACACAATAGATTTAACAAGGGCAGCAGTCTTCTCTTGAAAAATTCCAAGGTTACATGCCTAGGAAACACAGTGACTTATTAAATCAGGTTAAGCTTTGCCAAGTATGTTGGAGCAAAACACTTCCACCCTCCATGCAGAGACCTCCTTGCTTAAAAAGTAAATCCCTCTCCCATAGTCAGTGCTACAGCCCATGTCTGCTCCAACACATCCTTGTGTCTCCTTAACAGTGGTGTTTCTGTGAAGTTTCAGGAGTAGTTCAAGATATTGAACATACCTAGCTCTGATTAAAACAGAAATGTAAGTGTCTGACCAGTGTTTGTCACTGGGATTATCCTCTATGTTCTGGGAATAGTAAATATGAATCAAGAGCCCCTGCTGCTTTGGGTTTGTTTTTGGTTTTAAGGAGGAAATTGTCTTTTGCCTTGGAGGTGAAACAAAAGCTTTTTTAAGGCCAAAATCCAGGCTCTAAGAAGTGGGGGAAACATTTTTTCACCAGCAGCTACTTGCAGCCCCCCCCACACCTCACGGATGGCTGTATCCCACAGCCTCGCAGGAAGCAGTGGGAGGCAGTAGCCACCTTTGGGGTAGCCTCACCTCCACGTGCAGCAAAGAAAAGTAAGTTAAAACCTCTAGTCAGTAAGGGGAGGCAGTGATAATATTGGAGAGGGGAAGATTAAGTGTTTCACTGACGAGCCCAATGCCACATTCCATCAGTTCTGAGTGTGTGTGGCAGCGGCAGCTCTCAGTGGAAAGCACCCCACTTTGCTTGGAGACCGGCTTAACGAGAAATTCCACTGTTTTTTCCTTGTTTTTTTCCCCCTTCACTATGACACATGCCAAAAGCAGCTGACACAAGCCTAGAAAACAGCAAAGCAGGCCGTGCTAAGACTTGTTTCTACATAGGTTTGCCCTTCCTTGGTTTAAAGTGTTATTTTAAAAAGAGATTGTAAGAGTGGTGCCAGAGTTTTTCAGAGATGAGTTTTCCTATTTGATTAAGAGTTGATAGATCTATTTAGTTTCTCCTTCCCCCTACTTTAAGGAGAAAAGCCTGTTGCAGAGCCCAGGCTCGTGCCACAGGGCTGGGCAGCTTTGCTCCTCAAGGGGAGAAGGGGCTTCTCAGTAGACAGGTGTGAATATCCCATTCCCAGTTCTCATCCTGAGCCACCACTGGATACTTACTGCTCCTAGCATTCCCTCTGATCCCCCATGATGGATACACCCCTGGAAGCTAATGGGGCTTGTACCCCCAGCATGTGAGGACGTGGACAAACCCAGCTGTTTGGTGTCCCAGGCTGGCTTTGAGGGAAGGTGGTAAAGCAGTTCCTTGAATTTTGTGCCTTCACTTGGCCTCACTCCAACCCTTGGAGAAAGCCCATTTTCCTCAGCAGTTTCTCTGGGCAATGGTAGTGGCAGGGTCCCTCTTCTGTCCCCAGTGGGGTGGCAGCAGATCTCCCCTCCCATCAAAAATGGGCACAGGGATCTCTATGGCTCTGTCTGGGTATCCCAGAATACTATTCCCTGCTATACCAGCAGCAGAGGTGAGTAAAGCAACAAGAATTTTCCTGTGTTTCCCTGCCAAGGGCTTTTCAGTGCCCTGGGCAAGCACGTGCATAATTACAGTAATTGCCTCCCTGCTATCGAGTGTCCATCTCCACTAATGCTTTGTTCTGCACACCTGGGCCAGACCATTGCCAGAGGTATTTATGGAGGGGAACATCACAGTCCTGAAGAAAATCTCTGAGGCTTTGGAGGTATTTCTACCCTTGACTCTTTGTATCACTCACTGCATCTCATCCTGCACCTCTGAACTGGATTCCTCATTAGAGCCACCCCCATTGTAAGCAGCTGCAGCAAAGGCATCTGGCCTCTTTTCTATGCCAGTAACTTACCTTCTCCAAAACACAACTTGTTCTTTTAGCAGACTTCCCTGAACTGCCCTCCTAAAAGCACTAACACCACTTCTGGGATGCTGCCACAGTGTCCTTCTAACTGCGAGTCACCTGAATGCCTCCTGGGAAACTCAGAAAAGCAGGATTATACACAGAACAAAATATCTGCCTATGTGGATTCCCTACTCTTCTTTGCCGAGTACTGGCAAGAATCTTTGCAGGTGCAAGGTTTTGTGCATCTGGAGAAGGGTCCAGTGTGAGAGAGAGAGAGCTGGGGGATGTAACCAGTACAAATCCCCAAAATATCAAAGATGTGCAAGACTTGTTGCCCATTTGCCTCAGTAACCATGTCCTGTTTGCCTGGAAGAGCAAATCTGGATGTTTCTTCATGCTGCTGAGAAGGGTCTGAAAACTGAACTCCAAGGAATGAGTTTGATTTCACAGGCTCCAGCCCCTCCAAGTGCATCGCTCTTGGATACCACTCACTGAGCTGTGCTGAAGCGTGGCTGGCAAAGCCAACCCAGAATGGGCATGTGCTCTGAACCTGATGTGCTCCCAAGGGCAAACCCTGGAGCCAGACACTGTGTGGTGTCTGTCTGGGGTAGGGAAGCCTGAGAAGGCTGATGTGCCTCTGTGGGTGCAGCAGATGGATGGCAGCCCAGGCAACTGCACTCCTGACAGTGCCCCGACACAGGAGTGGTAAATCCTGTTCCTCCACGAACCAAACAGTTTTTCTTCAAGTGCCTGGGTCTGCCACAGAGCTCAGCAGACTTTTCCTATGGCTAATTACCTTCCTTCTTACCAATGTGCATCTTACTTCCAGTTATCATTTCAGCTCCTGGCTCTGAGCCCATCTCACATCTCTGCAGATCGAAACGTGGGGTCAGAGCAGACATCTGTGTTGGATACTTTACTTACCACCCTCTGTTCTGCAGTCCTTGCATGGGATTTCCTCCCTCCCCCTTGCAGAATCCTTGGTTATTCAAACTGCTTAAAGAGCTGATATCAAATCTGGGGCCATAGCTCTGGGAGTGCCTTTATCAGTGACAAGGTGATGCCTTGATGGGGCTGGCAGCTTTCACTGTCCCCTGTGCTCACCCAGTGAGCTGCCTGCTGTCATCCCCATGGCACAAACAGCACTGTCCTTTTATAATCACTGGTTTTCCTAAAGACCCACTCCTCTCTCAGCTGTCTCTCCATGGTCTCTGTGCCTAGCTGTATTTACTTGCAGGGATTTCATACCTTCTTGCCAGTCATACCTAAATGTACTGAGTAGCTGGGAGAAGCTATTCAAAGCCATCCTTATCCCTCTCATCTCCATGATCATTTACCCCTGAATGGGCTCTATGTACTGCATTAATATTTAGGCCAATATTTTCCCTTTCTTTGTGCTTAGGACCTTGGTACACTGATGTTTGTGGCCATTTCACACTCTCAGTTGCCATAGGGAATCTCTTGCAGTTGCACATCTGGTTGATGCAGCCTCTGTGTCCCATGAGCAGTGACCATAAAACCAGCTCTTTGTTTGTATAACTCGATGGTGCCCTGGGTCCAAAGTCCTGCCTAAACCCTGCTGTTTGTCAGCCTCTTCAGCTCCCTTTTGGAAGGGAGGTGGTGCGAGTGAAAACATCCCACAGCTGGAGCCGGCCCTGCACACATCCTCCTGGCACGACTGCGGGACACATCTGGACTGCTCTGCCACCTCCCACCCACTCAATCCCCCTTAGGGCTCATCAACTGGGCTGTCCAGCTCACTCCACAGGGCAGCAGGAGAGTCCAGCCACACCTCCCACTGCAAACCTTGGTTGTGCAACTGCCGTGGGAGTGGGGTGGGCACTCGCCCTCCCTCCCCTGCCTCTGCCAAAGCGCCAAGTCCCGCCTATAAATCAGGACCAGGAGGGGCTCTCTCCCTGCGGCAGAGGTGAGACAGCAGCACAGGTGGCTGAGGCTGAGGTAAGTGTCCCTGGGCAGCTGAGAAGCCTTCCCTTCCCTCCCTACCCCGCTTCTGAGGTTGGCTGCTATGGCCATTTGCAGGGAGAGTGTGGAAAATGTGGCAGAAATGGGCACAGGGGAGCAGAGACAGTGTTTCCTGGGTATTATTTCCACCTTCTGTGCAAGAAGGTAGGGAATAAAATAGGATACGTAGCTGGGAGGTGTTTGTGATATAAGGTAACTCCCACCATGCAAAAAAAGCCTTCCCCAAAACAGTTAACAGCAAGCAACTCGTGCTAGTGCTTTCTTCATTTACACAGGAATGAGTCCAGTTTTTATTCCAGCCTTGAGAAGCAGAGTATTCACTAGGTGTTGCCTTATGACTGAAAGTTGAAATTGTTCTGGGGAATATGGTGTTTTTTAGAAAACGCTGTGCCTAGCCCCATTTTTTAATGAAGATTTTTTATTTTTATTTTTTTCTGATGAATACCCCATCCTCTGTGTCTCGTGGAAGCTGAAAGTGCTCCTCTGTGCAGAGGAGCCAGTGCCATGCATAATGACATCCTGATGTGCTGAATTAATAACTCAGTGGAGCAGGGTGCTCCCTACCAGCACTGGGGTTAAACCAGAGGCTGCAGCAGCACCCCTGAGGCACCTGTGTGGGGGTCCCTGCTCTGGCAACATCCAGCCCAAGCCATGGAGCCTGGCCATCGTCTCTTGTTTTATTGCCTGGGACTATCAAGAAGGATTTGGATTCATCGTCCCCATTGCAGCTCTGGGAGCCTTGTAGGGCTGGATGTCCATTCAGGGACTGCTGCCTTTCAAGCCCCGGGGTAGAGCTGCTTGGAACCCTGCAGCAGGCACAAAAGCATCCTAAATCCAAGGTGTGCTACATCTGCAGCCCGTCCCTCAGCCTTGGTGGCTCTGTCAAAGTCAGCAGCATCTTCCCCAGTGATGGGGGACAGGACCCTGCCAGAGGTGCAGAGACTGAATAGTCTCACTGGATTTTTTTTTTTTATCCTGAGAAAGGCAGGGCAGGTATCCAAAGATAAAAGTATTTGCAAGACCAATAAGGCAGGATAGTTTAAACTCAGCTTGTAAACAAAAATTGGCAGCAAATTGTGGCTTGACTACATACTTTCAAAGCCAGTTTCCAGGAAAACTGCAGGAGTTTGTAATCAGCCTTGTGAGTACACTGTAAAAGTAGATGAATTTATTAAATTTAAAAAAAAAAAAAGGAGAAAATGAAGATTTAAAGATATTTAATCTCACTTGTAAATGAAGAGCCCAGAATGCTGGTAAAGGGAATGAAGATTTGGGGGTGGCATATAGAGAAATCCCCTACAGAGGATATGCCAGGAGCTGCTCCCTGAGAGTGTGATGACTGCCTGTGGGGTTTCTCCCAGGTTAAGCCCTGTTCACAGCCTGGAATCCCGGTAGAGGCAGCAGGGATGAGAGTGGCCGTGGTGGGCGCTGGTGTCAGTGGGCTGGCAGCCACCAAATGCTGCCTGGACGAGGGGCTGGAGCCCACCTGCTTTGAGCAGAGCCAGGACATCGGGGGGCTCTGGCGCTACACGGTGAGCCATCGGTGCCTGTCCTCCTTCCCTTGGGAGCTGCAGCTTTGCAGGTGGGGAGCGGGTTGAGCTGGGCTCCAGTGGATGGGGAGGGGGTGTGAGAGCTTGCTGGGTGCTGGCCTCTCCTGGCTGCACTCCCTGAGACCAGAGGAAGGGGAGTGGGGGACAGTCCCCACCCTGGGCGCAGAGCTGATGCACCCGGGGTGCCGTGCCAGGAGCACATCGAGGCCCGCCGGCCAAGCCTCTACCAGTCAGTCATCAGCAACACCTCCAAGGAGATGTCAGCATTCTCTGACTTCCCCTACCCCGAGGACTTCCCGGTGTTCCTGCCCAATGCCCGGCTCCTGGATTACCTCCGGTGCTATGCCGAGCGCTTCAGCCTCCGGGAGCACATCAAATTCGGGGTGAGTGACGGGTGCCCCAGCACTGCCCCACTCCCCACACGCTCTGGATGCCAGTGGTGAGTTTGCTTCACTCTCATGTTTCAGACCACTGTTGTCAGCATTCGGAAACACCCCGACTTTGCCACCACGGGCCAGTGGAATGTGGTCACAGAGGCGGATGGGAAGCAGGCATCGCATGTCTTTGATGCTGTTATGGTTTGCACTGGCAATTTGTCCGAGCCATCCCTCCCCCTGCACTGTTTTCCTGGTACAGTATAGGGTTGCCTGTGGTTACCTGCTTCCAGGGGCTGGGGGGACGTTTAGAGGTTCCTTGGGGAAAATGCTTGCTTTCTTCCTTTATTTGATTCTGCTTTCCAAATCTCCTGGCACAAACAGCAATACATCCTTGTGCTTCAGCAGCTTTGTCTATGAGGCCCTGTTTTGGAGAGGAAGCACCAATTCTGTGTGCGTGGGATGGAGGGCTGGACCTCCCCGAGTCCCGGGTGGCCAGTGATTGCACTTCCTTACTCCTGCCATCTGGATTGTTTCTACGCCAGTTCTCCCAACAAAACCCACAAATGCTCAAATACTTAAGAGCTTCGTTTCTTTTTCCCCAAGGCATCGAGAAGTTTCGAGGCCAGTCCTTTCACAGCCGCCAGTACAAGCATCCCGACGTGTTTCAGGGGAAGCGTGTCCTCGTGGTGGGCATGGGCAATTCCGGAGTGGATATTGCGGTGGAGGCCAGTCGTGTAGCTTCCAAGGTACCACTACCCAGCCACCCCAGGAGTGTGGGGAGGGAGGTGTGTGGGGCAGTAGTTCAGTCTACTGTCACCTCAGGGACGTGGTGCACAAACAGTCCTTTTGAACCCGAAGTTCTTGTTCAAAAACCTACCCTGAAAGAAAGCTGGTTTTCCTCTTTTCTCCTGTTCTACCTCCATTATCAGCAGCCAAGAGGTCTTAAAGATGCTGTTGCTGCTTTTCCACTGTGCAGCTGTCTGTGCCGTGCCCCTCTGAGTTACTTTTCAGCACAAATTTCAGCAAATTCATCAGCCAAATCATTGATTCCTTGCTCTCTCCCAGGTGACCATTTGCACCCATCGGGGTGCCTGGCTGCTCAGCCGTGTGTTTGACCATGGCTACCCATGGGACATGGTTTACAACACTCGCTTCATGAGCCTGATCAGAAACAACCTCCCTGGGTCCCTTTCATGGGGATGGGTTAATTACAATGTGAACCAACGGTTCAACCATGAAAACTATGGCCTTCAGCCAGAGAAGAGGTACTTGGTGGTTGCCAACCCATGCAGATGGGCTGATGGTGGTGTGGGCAGGGGGAGATCTCCAGCAACCAACATCAACCCGTGCCCAGACTGTGGTGATCTCCAACCAGGAGTTCACAGCCCAGTAGGAGAAGATAAGCTGTACCCCCTTAAGTGGTGAGAGATTGAGCATGCTGGAAAAGCCCAGGAGGAGTTTTCCTCGTGAGGCTCCCTGCTGAAAGAGGAGAAGAAAGGCTTAAAGTGTGGATCAGCTCTGAAAAGAGATGGTTTAAAGAGCAATTGAGTGGAGGAAGAAGGCAGGAAGTGTCCAGGAATCACTCATGCTATGGGACAGGGTGACACTGGTGCAGGGGTTGAACGTGTCAGTGTTTGGAGAGGGGGAGGCAGGGCTGTTTGCTTAGAGCAAATGACACTGGGAGGTCGTGAGCTGGTGGGCCCAAGGGAAGGAGGAGCAAGGGCACTGGCAGGGCTTGTTCATAGTCTCCTGTTCTCAGAGCCCCTCTGCTCTCCACAGGTGCCTGGTGCGAGAGCCTCTGCTGAACGACGACCTTCCGAGCTACATCCTGACAGGGAGGGTCACCATCAAGCCGGGCGTGAAGGAGTTCAAGGCCAACTCTGTTGTTTTCCACAACTGCCCTGAAGAGGAACCCGTTGATATTGTTGTCTTCTGCACAGGCTACAACGCCTCCTTCCCGTTCCTAGAAGAATCAGTCGTCAAGGTGGAAAACAAGCACGCATCCCTCTACAAATACGTGTTCCCAACCCACCTGCAGAAGAACACCCTGGCTGTCATTGGGCTGATTAAGCCCTTTGGAGCCATCATGCCCGTGACAGAGATGCAAGCACGCTGGGTGACCCGTGTCTTCAAAGGTAGGAGAGCTAACGGGAGCTCTCCTGGGTACCAAAATACAGTTCAGATTGGACGTGTCTCGTCCCTCTACCAAGATGGATTTCTGTCCTTGGAGATCTCAGAGCTAAGAAGCTCATTTCAGAGTGGACAGGGGAGTATTTTCAGGGCTCAGACCTCCCAAGTTATTTCACTTCTGCTAAGCTGCAGCAACATGAGTGAGGAAAGAAACCTACTGGGGTTTTGTTTGGTTTTTTTAATAAAAATATTAACAACAACCTCCCACTGGGCTCACAGGGAGGGCTATATCAAGGCTTCTCCATAGAGCCAGGGGAAGCTCTGTGGTTTCTCTTTGGGATGATCCTCTCTGGGGCTTGCACAGCCCATGTCACCTGCCTGTGCCCTGACAGCACAAATCCGTAAGAGCAGGAGAAGGTAAGGGTGAATTTGCCCCACTGTGGAGGACTGGTCTCTGGCAGAATTGCCAGTGACAACCTAAACCTGAGCAATGGGGTTTTCCTGCCCTACAGAGGTAGGGATTCTCATGTTTTGCATCAGTGAATGAGTTCACAAGTCCCCCCAGGAGCTAAACTCTGGAGGATGCTCTCCTCTCTCTCCTAGGCTTGTGTCAGTTGCCTCCTCAGTCTGTCATGGAGAAGGAAGTAAATGAGAAGAAAAACCAAGTTAAATGGTAAGTCATTCCCTGGAGCCTCAAAGGGGGTTTTTTGCGGACTGAAAAATCCCTGGAGTTTTGGGGGCAGCAACACACAGGCTCACACTCTGCAGCTGCTCCCTGTGTGTATGGCAGAGGCAAGGGGGGATGCCCAGATCCAGCCTCCCCTTTGCTCACTTGAGCCAATATAACCTTTGATTTGACACTGGTATTTTGCCTGTTGGTTGCAGGAAGAAATTAATTTGGGGTACTTAAGCCTAAAGCTTGCTTAGGAGTTGGGGAAGTGTGTCAGGGTCCCCAGGGACTGAGAGATAAAATGGCAGAGAAATTAATGGTAATAAATGCAAGGTAATTCAACCGGGAAGGGGAAAAAAATCCAGCCCAAGGTGTCCACACAAATTGTCTCATCTCTCAGCATGGAGACCTGACTCACTGTGAACAGGTATCTAAACACACCACTGTGTGGTTCCCAGGCAGGTAAAAGGCTAAGAAATATTAGAGTATGAATGAGATAAACCCAGGAAACTGGGCAGTGTATTAATCCAGTCATCTACATCACTGCAGAAGAAAAGGGATAGAAAAGTGAACTACAGAATTGCTCAGAAGAATTGCTCTACAATACGAGGTTAAACTCACGTGGCCTTTTTTCAGGCCACCAAAGGTGGGACATAAAACTCTGAATTCTACTGAGAAGATGAACTGGAAGCAATTTTCCAATTCACCATGTGTTCTTGCAATACTTGATGGAAATGAATGTGAGGAAAACTAAAGGGCTCTGCCTTTCTCATGCTGCACATGACTTCCCTGCAGAGAGCAAAGGGAAAACTAGATTCCAAAAAAATCCCAAAACTGGTTTGACAAAATTTTTTAACAGAGATCCACCAAGATGAAGGGGGGGAACAGGTGCAACTTGTGGCCAAGGAACTGAAAGACTGATTGATTGACATGAGCCAGCATCCCTTTACATGTGCTGTATAAGGGACAGGATTTGGGTCCAGACAGGCCAAGGTTCCCACTCTGTTTACGCCCAGTCCTTTCCTAAAAAGAACCTGCTTGCATTCGAATGCAATAACAACAGGGATGCAGAGGACTTGCACTCAAGTTCCTCTCAGCCCTGTTGACACCAATCTTTCTCCTGCCTGTTTTTCTTCTCTGATTCATTAAGGTTTGGTCTGTCCTTCGACGAAGTCCTCAAAACCGAGTGGCTGGTCTACATGGACACGCTCGCCTCCTTCATCGGTGCCAAGCCCAGCGTGCTGGGGCTGCTCTGCAGAGACCCCTGGCTGGCCCTCACCATTTTCTTTGGCCCCTGCTCCCCCTACCAGTACCGACTGGGGGGTCCTGGGCACTGGGAGGGGGCACGCCAGGCCATCCTCACCCAGTGGGACCGGACCCTGAAGCCCACAAGAACACGAGTTCCTGCTGGCTCCTCCAGCTCTTTCCCCTCTCTCCTGATTGTGGTGGGGTTCCTCCTACTCCTGGCTGCCATAATTTTTGGTTTACAATAGCTTTTAGAGCCTGTTAATTTTTTGTTCTTGTCACGGGGGATGTTATCTCAGGTCAGACATCTCCACAGTGTGCCATGGGATGGGAGGAAAAGGATTTCACCAGATGGAACAAATTTTATGCTTCAACCTGCCACACAAACCTTTCTCTGCCCCAACTCACCCCCAAGCACAGCTTTGCAGACCCCATTAGCTGGGGATGGCAGCTTTCCCCCAGTGTCTATTGCTCCTCTCCTCTCCTCTCCTGCCCACTGCTGGGAGCAGAGCATGGCTTTATGGCATAACTGTGTATGGATCATGCCAGCCAGGATGCAGCAAGGATAAGACTAGCCCTGCTCCAACTCACCTGAGGACCAGGGTCTTTAGTCCAGCAAGGGGTTATCTGGGCTGGGTACGCGGGTCAGGCTGTCTCTTTTCCCAGACTTAAAACCTATGACCCAAAAATCGCAGTTTGGGTTGAATTGGTGCATGTTTCCAATGAAAGGGCCCTGGTTGTGATTTGTCACCACTGAAATTGGGACTCCTGGCTTTGTTTTCCTTCATTCCTCACCACTGGATAATCCTAGGGCTTTTTTCATGTGTGTGGAGACTTTAAATGAATAAAATTTTATCAGCTGTGTCAGGAGCCTGCTGCAGGTGCCTCCATGTTTTCTGCCTGTGTGCAGGGAAAGAGCTGGGAGGGTCCATGTCTGAGCTGGGGTTGTTGCCACCCAGTGCCACGGGCAACTCATAAGGTTGGGGCTGTGAGGACTTTCTCTGACCCCCCAAAATTATTCTGCACTGTGCTCCATGTCCCCCATCCATGCTGTGAGCTGGCAAAGAGAGTGTGTTTTGCTGATTTCCTGGGCGTGCCAAGTGAACGCCTGCCAGGCACAGGCGCTGCAGGAAGGGATGAATCAGGACAGCCCCAGGCTGCTGCCTGGGCTGGGCCAGTGGCCAGCTGCGGTGTGGGAGCCCTTGCAAGCACGTTCCCTTTGGGATCATAGTCTGGATTTTCAGCCAGCACCGCCGCGGGTATGTTGAGAGCTTTCTTCCAGTGCGTTTAAGCACACGGGGTGGGGCAATGCAGGCGTAAAGGTCAGTGGTGCAAGAGCCGTGGCGACCTGCCCGGACTTCAGCCTTCCCTTCAAATCTGCGGCAGGAGAAACTTGAAGCAAAGTTCGGCCGAAGCCTGAGCAGCGAAGGCACGGCACTGTCCTGCAAGGTTTGCTCCTCACTTCTCTCCAGATGGGTGTTGCAGGCTTCCAAAGGGGGCAGACAGCTCTCCAGGGTTTTGGCATTTGCCACCGGCTTTGTGGCCCTGCTGGCGGGGGGAGAGGGGTCTTACAGGGACTCTGGAGTAAAACTTCTCTATCCAGCACTGGAAAGGAAGGCTGATTTTAGCATGTCTCTACTCTTTTCCAAAACCAAAGGAGGCTCCAGAGACAGGGGGCAGGCAACTGTTGTCAAGTCCTGCCCTGTTCGTGCAGATCAGGGAGTGGCTCAGTCTGGGCTTTTGGATCCTGAGAGGTTTTTTTTGCACCTCCTTCATTTTTCCCTGTCTTTCTTCAGTTTCCTCCAGTTCCTGTTTATGTTAACTTACTTTTTGGCACAAAACTGATAGAAAAAAGTTATAAATTACTCTTTCTGCAGATTCTGCAGTGGGAGTGTTTGTTATCTAATCAAAGTTCACGTGGGTTCATTTTTCCTAGTTTCTCTGCTTTCCAGTCAAGCTCGGTGCAGCTAGTTTACACACCCCGGGGGCCTTGAGTTCCTCGCCTTTATTACCCGCGTTTCCCGGGTTTCTTACCTTTTGTGTGCTCTGTAATCCCAGCCGCGCTTTCACGGTGCTGTCTAACTTGTGAATGGCTGCGCCGCGCTCCTGCTCAGTCAGGCATCAGGGTTTTTTTTTTCTTTTTTAAACCCTTTTTGTTCTCAAGAGATTGCTCTTTAATGGGAAAGTAAAAAGGAAAGCATGAAAATGAGCCATCTTAGCTGAAATTGTTTCTTGCAAACGTTTCAGGAGGATCGCTTTGTGCGGGCAGAAGCTGCGAGCCCCTTCCCCTTCTTTGCGTGCCCTGGTTTGGGCTTGGAAATGGAATAAAAAATGAAGCAGCAGCATAGTGAGGTTTAAAAGTGTCTCCCTTTTCCCTGCATGAAGGAGAGGAATTGCTGGACCCTCGATGTGGGCTTAGCACAGCAAGAAGGGTAACAAGCAGCATTTGTCCGTAGTGCTTGAGCCAAGAGCTGGCCATGGCTTTCTCCAAGAATAGTTTTCCTTGAGGGCACCTGCAGCCAGAGAAGACCAGGGGTGTTTTTCTAGGGATGGGAAGAAGGGATAGGTGTTTCTGCTAATTCTTGGGCTGTTTGGTTTGCAGCTACTCACCCACGGGCCCGTTTCCCGCTGCAGGACAGCAATGGTGCGGCGCGTGGCCGTCATCGGGGCCGGGGTCGGTGGCTTGGCCTCTGTCAAGTGCTGCCTGGATGAGGGGCTGGAGCCCACCTGCTTCGAGAGGAGCGAGGACATCGGGGGCGTCTGGCGGTACACGGTCAGTGAGCTCTGCCTGCATGGGGAGGATTGTCCATGGGTTTGTCCCCTTTCTTGGATATACTCTGCCTGCAGCAAACAAAAAAGGGTGGCTATGCCCTCAGAGACTGTCCCTGTCCTATCCTAGGCACAGGTCTCCCCCTGACTCCAAGTTGGAGAAGGAAACAGAGGGAGCAGAAACCATGGTCACTAGATGCTTGTCCTGGTTAATTCTTTATAATCAAGTACAAGGAGGAAAAACACTCAAATGCTTTGGGGAGAGAAAGTATTTCTCTGCATACCTTCAAACAGCACCACTGGCTTCACACAGGACTCCGTGGATGGTACGAGAGTCAGCGTGTACCGCTCTGTCATTACCAACACCTCTAAGGAGATGTCCTGCTTCAGTGACTTCCCCTTCCCGGAGGATTTTCCCAATTACCTACCCCACGGCCTCCTCCTGGAGTACTTTCGGATGTACGCCCGCCACTTCGACCTCCTGAGGCACATACGCTTCAAGGTGAGCAGGGACCCCAAACACCATGGGCAGAAGACCCACCAGTAGCTGCAGATACCAGGGTATCACCCAGGTGGGACAGGACAATGCCAGGTGCCATCCCACAAGGACTACATGCCTTCTGTATCCTAAATGCAGCCTTTAGCTTCGTGTTTTAAAGGCTTCTTAAACATGGGCTGCACCTCCCCCCTCAATGCCATCACCAGGGGAAAGGTGCAGGGTGGGATTTGATGGTGTTGGGTGACATGCAGCTCCCTAGGGACCCAGCCTGCCCCCAGCAGCCCCAGCCCTTCACAGGCACATCTCCAAAACACAGCATGATCTCTAACTGCTGTTTTGTTTGGCTTTGGTGCAAGACAACAGCTCTCAGTGTGAGAAGGTGCCCAGACTTTGCCACCTCTGGCCAGTGGGAGGTGGTCACCGAGACCGACGGTGTCCGTGAGTCCCATGTCTTCGATGCCGTCATGGTTTGCACCGGCCATTACCAGGAGCCTTACTTACCACTGGAGTCTTTCCCAGGTAAGCCCTGTCCCAGCAGTGGGATGGGCTGCAGCTGCCCCCTGAGGTTTTGCCCAGCACCCATGGGTTCCTTGACTGCATTTTCCTCTTAGAGCCTGTCTGCTCCACAAAGCCCTTACACTGGGAAAAGTGGGACCCTCACCCTGTTGGAATGGTGAGGGCCATTCACAGGAATGGCAAAAATGCCTAGTAAAGATGCAGCCAGGCTTTTGAATGAGGATTTGCAGAGCAAGACGGAGCAGAGGAGGTGCAGGGGGGTGGCACCACCCAGGCAGCCAAGACTTCCATGGGCTTTTCAGCTGCAATCAGAGGTGGGGGGTAGCAGGTTGGGGTCTCCAGAGGGTCTGGGACAGTTGAATGTATCTGACAGTAGGAGAAGCTCCCCCCTCTCTGCCTAGGCATTGGCACTCGCTTCAAAGGCCAGTACCTCCACAGCCAGGAATACAGAGATGTGGAGCCTTTCCGGGGAAAGCGGGTCCTTGTGGTCGGCATTGGCAACACTGGCGGTGACATCTCCGTGGAGCTGAGCCATGTGGCTGCCAAGGTACAACTCTGCAGCAGTGCAGAGCTCAGCCAGGGACCAGGAGAGCCAGGGGCTTAAGTTACCCCAGGAAGCTTTGCTCCTGGGTTTTTAAATAAATTCCACTTTCAATTGAAGGCAACTGAAAAAGCTTTGCAATTCCTGGAGAGTTTGGGCCACCTGAGGAGTGGCCATTCAGCAGCTGTGGGAACTTTGTAGAAGCTGCCACAAGCTGTTTGGTTGATCTGGATGCCATCTCCTTCCCTCAGGATAACCCTCTCAGCTCCCAAGTGCTGAGATGAGATTTGCCATTAAGAGCAAAACCAACAACGAGATGCCTGGACAGGAGGCTGAGAACTGCCTTCTCTTCCAGGTGTTCCTCAGTGCCAGGAGCCACACGTGGGTGATGAGCCGGGTCTCAAATGATGGCTTCCCCTGTGACATGGTCGGCACCACCCGCTTCAACCACTTTCTTGACTGGCTTCTCCCATCAGCCTTCACAAGGAGGATCCGGTTTCGGAAGTTCAGTTCATGGTTTAACCACACAAATTATGGGTTGGCTTCCACCAAAAGGTATTTCTTTCTGGTTGTTTTGTTGGTTGGTCAGGGGGTCTTTATACCATGAAATGCTCAATGTTTAATTTTGGGGTATATTTGTGGAATAGCAAACCATTGGAGGGGAACTCTGACTACAAAAGGTGTCTCAGATCCTGCCCAGGTGCTAACACCTTCTTTTCCCCCTGCAAGCTCCAAATTTAAGGTGATTATCAATGAAGAGCTGCCGTTCTGCCTCCTCTCTGGGACTGTTGTGTTGAAGCCAAGTGTGAAAGAGTTCACGGAAAGCTCTGCCATTTTTGAAGACGGGACAACAGAAGAAAACATTGACGTGGTGCTCTTTGCCACGGGATACATCTTTCCATTTCCCTTCCTTGAAGAGTCAGTTCGCAGCCTCATTGACGACAACCGTTCCCTCTATAGACGCATCTTCCCTCCCCAGCTGGAAAAGCCAACGCTGGCCATCATTGGCTTGGTCCAGCTGACCGGCTCCATTATGGTGGGATCAGAAATGCAGGCTCGCTGGGTGACGGGGATATTTGCAGGTAGGAAACGGGGGGGTCTGCTGGGGTGAGAGGTTTGGGGCAGCCTGACCTGCTGTCCACAGAGCCTGGGGCATGTTTCAGCTCCATGGTGGCCATGAGCATCAGTGGCATTGTAGCCTCTGTCTGCCAACTGCATCCCTGTATCCCTGCTGCTCCAGACATGCTGCTGTAACCAGCAAGCATGAGCTTTCAGCTTGAAGTGCTTCTGAAGGTCTCTGGTTTCTCTGTTCTCAGGCTGGAACAAGCTCCCTCCTGCCAGCAGGATGATGGCTGATGTTTTGAAGAAGAAGCCTCCAGTCAAAAGGTGTGTGATGCTCCTGTGCTCCAGATGTGATGGGTGCTGTGTACCAGGATAACCCCAGGGAAAGGGGGGCTCTGTGGCAGTTGTGGGAGCGACCTGCATAGGACACACAACTCTTCTTGGATGCATTTATTACCTCAGAACCTGTAGTGAGGTGGG